TTAAAATACTATCTAAATACAAACTCAAGTTTTGACCCACCCAAACACACTCAAAAAGATTATCATCTCAAACTATAACTCACATGTACACAACCAAACACAAACTCAAAGTACAACTTCAACTCAAATTATAACTTAAATTTAACTCAATATCTACACTTAAGTCACCATAACTAAAAAATGTAAGTGAACAAGCTCTTAATAATTAGCACTTTATGAGTACACTTTTTTAGTTTTGATTTTCGTTCAATTTATTCTTTTATTCTTCAAAATTACAAACATATATTTTATATTTGAAAAATATGTTTGAATTTTTTCTCCACATATTTTTCTAAAACTATTTATGTGCATTCCTACTTTTTTACATTATTTGTGCTGAAAAAATGAAATCGAAACATATCTTTAAAAAAAAAAGCGTGAGAGGATTACTAAATTTACTTTTAAAAATGCAGAAACTTGATTTTTACTATTTTTTTATTAATATTCTTTTAATTAATATTTGACTAAAAGAATTAACCAAGCGTAAAAAATAAAAATTTAGAGTCGTACATGAGGGTATTTATCTTCTTTTCCTAATAAGTTTAATGAGAGGGTGAGAGAATAAAAAGAATAATGTTGCTCAAATTTGAGCAACTGTCAAGATTTGGAAACAACACCAAACAACATGTCGTTTCCGTTTTGAGATATCTACATGGAAAAATTTCATATTGATACTCTATATTTTATTATAATTGTCTTTTAATACTTGTATTTTTAGTAATTTTAAATTAATACCTTAACGTTTTAAAAAATTATTTTTTAGTAACTTAAAGTCATTTTTTAAGATGTAAAATATTAAATTTATCATTCTCATTACTTTATCAAAAACTAATAAATTTAATAATATTATGAAAAAATTATTTTTAATTTAAAGCATTATTTTAATTTTTAATTTTTAAATATTTATAAAATTTTCCAAAATTTTTCTAAATTTATTATTAGTTTTTTAGTTAATTAATTAGAAGAGTAATTTTAACATTTTACATTCTAAAAAATGACCTTAAAATTATAAAAAAATAATTTTTAAAACGTCGAGATACCAATTTAAAATTACTAAAAACAAAAAATATTAAAAGACAATTATACTAAAACACATGGTACCAATATAAAATTTTTCCTATCTAAATTTGCATTAGCCTTTTTGTCCGGCGTACTTAAAAAGACGTTTTCCTTCTCTTGCAAGTGGACAGCCTGAGTTCCGACAGTTTTCAATCTGAGATATCAAAATTGCATATACCTTAAAGTTTGGCATATAGGAAATGTTCACAAACAAATCACTGACAATTTCCTCCGGTTCTTTTTTTCTTTTTTTTTTCTCTAAAATATTCTAATTAACTCCCGGTGAGAAATGAGAAGATATTCGAAAACAGATGTGTGAAAGCCTGTTTTTGCTAGAAGTGATTGCCAACAGAAAATTGACTCTCAGAAATTGACTCCAAAATTGGCACTACAACAAGAGAGTTTTGGCCAAATGCAAAGCATGATGTCAATCTCAGAAAGGAAAGAATAAATGCTCATATCACCAGTTGTAAGAGAAAATGGAACTAGCATTTACAACAGAACATCAAACATAAGTAATTAAGCATAATTGCACAAACATATCGACAAAACACTATATCCAACAAAAAAATGCCTAATCGTTTTATATTGTTAACAAGGCAAAGTCTTGCAACAATTTTCTCGTTGAGTATCAATCAAATATATAAGTCTCCAACCTCAGGAATCCAAAGTCCCGCAACGGCAATCCAAAGTTTTTAGCACCTAATTTCGTATGAACCGGCTTTCGTGATATAGCGAACCCACTCAACTGTGTTGTATCCACTCTTCTCCCACACCTGCAGCAACCGAAAAGTTGAATGCTACATTTCTTTTTTCGATCAATGATATGATATATTAATACTGTTCATCGCTTACCTTGAGAAAACGGACGCGCAAGCCAGATGCAGTAAACATTGGAACCTGTATAAACAACATTAAAACCAGTTAATCATCTTCCTTGAATGAAGAAATGGATGAGATTAATAACTGCTGCGCAACTGAATCATTAACTCAACATGTATCATACAAAACCTGATTCTTATAACGTAAACTAGATAAGCCACTTATAACGTTCTTAGCACTTTTTCAAGACATTTTAGTGATTAAATTTCTGTCATAACCGTAACTATCCAGGATAGGAGCCCAGTCCTCTTTCCTGAGAAGAAGAATCTTCTTAATCTCCCCAGAAAACAGTTGGTTGAATAAACAAGTAATAAGCAACTGGGTAAGCCATGTATCACAAATACAGGGACAATGGGTATTTGATAAACATTCGTGAGTAGTTTGCCAATATATAAACTGATCCACTAATAACTTTCCCTAATTGGCAGGACAACCAATAAGCCTCCCATCTCATTCAGTATCTCAGAATTCTTCCATTATGTGCGATCATGACTTTTTACAGATACAACGGGGGAAAAAAATCCCATCCATTCGCATAAATCATAAATGGTATTGGAGTTAATAACAATCAGGCACCTGAAACTCCATCTGAATTGGTGGCCTTGTCCATGACTTCTTTTCTGCCATTGTGGAAATCAGCTCAACCTCTGCACTCATTGTTGGTTCAGTTTGCCCAGGAAATTTCCTTATCCTAGAAAGTTCCAAGAATATAAGTGAAGTGACAGCTAAGGATACCAAATAGTAGATCAAAAAGAGCAGCACAAAAAATTGAATGAAAGTCACCACTAAGTGGGTGGTGGGTGAGAATGTGTGTGCAACTAAAATACTGTGCATTTACGAGGTGAAAGGAGGGTCCATCAATTTGATGATTGCAGATGATAATTATGTAATATAATAGCAAACACCACTTGTATATTTAAGTTCTAAATCTACTGATTCATCAGCAAGAAACATAAAAATGAAACCATGGGCATAATAAAAGAACTCACTTCCACACTAAGCAATCAATAGCAGCATTATATTTTGCTCGACCGGACGTAACTTGAAAGCTTGTTTTAGCAGTTTGTTTCGGCACTGGAATTTTAATGACGACCCCAAGTGCAAACATTTTGGCCCCAAAGACACTCTTCACCTGAAGATTACTACATATGAATTAATAGAAGAATGAGGAAACAAGAAAATCCAAACACATTAAAAGTACAGTCACAAACCTTCACATTTACTTCCATTCGTGTTCTACCAAGTTCCTTAATAGTAGGCAGCACACGGAAAGGAAGATTCACGCCCTCAGTGATTCGGTACCTATGGGCAAACAAGAATTAGAGGACCAAGTAAACAAAACAAACAAAAATTAAAGGTACTTAGAAACTGAAAATAGGTGACGTCCCATATCATCGTTATGGTAAAAAGGTGAGTTCATAACAAAGTTTCATGAGCTTATTGGAAAGTACAATCACAAATAAGCAGCATCAGGTGATACAAGCAGTGCACATTAGAAGAATTTGAGGCCCCGTTCCAAGAAAAACAACATCAGGCTATGAGAGAGAAAAATCAGAAACAAGCATAATAAATCTCATCTATGAGACTATTAAGTTACATTAGAAAGAAAGAAAAGAATACAATCTAGACAAGGCCCATAGGACTTAATAATGAGTTCCTCGAGCTAATATATATCTTATTCACAGATTTATTTTTCTTTCCATTTTTTAATATATCAAAGCTATACACTCCAAACATTAAGCAGAATTAATTCAGAATGTATAAAAGTAAGAACAGTTTCAAAGGCCATACATTTCCATGCAGACGTGAAATAGAATATAAATAATTGGATGCCATTATTGTCGATTATTAGAGATAATTTAATGAGCTTACTTCATCAATTCAAATTCCCCATCTGGTGGCACAAAACTGACAGTCTTCTCTGAATTAAACCTCGTCAAGTTTACACATTGATGGAAGGTAACATCGTCAAGCTCAATTGTTTTACCGCTGCAAAATAAGTAATTGTCATAATAGTAAAGAAAGAAAATAGGACAGAATCTGACAGAACCCGATAACACCAACTATAATACCAACAAAGTTCATTTTTAGATGGAAATAAAAGGTAGAATCTGGTTTTAGGGAAAAGTGACAAATGTATTGTAATCCTTCAAGCTACGGTCAGAGGCAAACTTAGAAGACAAGAAATATCAAAACCGACTTAACATTGCATTTAGGATATGCATGAAAAATGAAATTGGGAATGAGATGTGGGAAAAAAGAGAGAGAACATGGACAAAAAGCAGGAAGAATGATATATCTATGTGCAATTAGCTTTTATGGCACGTCTAGGAAAGTAACTGATAAGAACCAGAGCCAGGGGCTGCTTGTCTATAGCAGAAAGAAGAAACGCTACGTTAGTAATTAGGCTGATGTGGCTTGTAA